ACTTATTAACCAGAAGAAAGGTTCTCTCGAAAATAATTTGGAAAAGAATGTTACTCTATGGGGCCAGCAGTTGGTGTGGCGGTTACTCCCACATGGCCAACCGTGGTTCAAGTCCCAGACCTGGCAGCTTGCTTTCTCACTTTCCATCTCTCTGTCTCTGTCTGGTTAAGTAAATAATAATAAATAATAATAAATGTAAATAATTATTTTTTAAAAAGAACGTTAATATACATATGTGGTAGTAAAGTCAGATAGAGACAGTTTGCTATAAATAAAGCTAAATAAGGGGACCAGCAGTTAGTGTAATGGCTATGTTGCTGGACTCCCACGTAGTCGACCGTGGTTCGCGTCCCGGACCCGGTGGCTTAAAACTCACGCTGGGCGCATGTGCATGTGCGTGCGTGCCCAAGATTCTGAGAGGAGAATGGAGGAGAAGGGATTGCGGTGTGGCCATCCTCCCTGGGGGTGATTTCTCGCTTTCTGTCTCTCTGTGTCTCTGTCTGTCTGGCGAGTGCACGCGCCCTATAGCAAAAACCTCTCCAAAAATAATAAGAAGAAGAATAAAGCTAAATAAAGACCTGCATGCTTTAGGGAGCACATAATTTAAGTCTGTATTTCCACGTAATTTAAGTGGACTGGCAGTTGTAATCTCTTCTGAGCCTTTTACTCGGACCCGGTGGCTTAAACTCACGAGGCAAGAATAAATAAAAAGGGCGTCTCCACAGCCCGAGGAGCTGTTTAGCATCTGTGCGCCCTGCCCTGCCCTGCCAACCTTATCTGGAGCTTGGTACTTATAGCTTTTCGTTTTTAAATAATTATTTTATTTCACTTTATTTATTTACTTACTGATTTTAATTTGCTCAGAGAGGGACAGAGCGAGAGCGAAAGAGAGCGAGAGAAAATGAGAAAGCAAGCTGCCTAGTCCAAGACTTGAACCATGGTCTACCATGTGGGAGCCCAGCGCTCTTAACCACCATGTCACCTGCTGGCTCCAAGTTTAGTTTCCTTAACACCATTTTGTTTGGTTTCTAAAATAATAGCCAATTTGAAGAAGGGAGAAGTTGACCCTTGAACTGAAATGAGGTACAACTCTTTTGAAAATTATTTATTTAATTTTATTATTATTAATTTTTAAATTTGCTATAAGATACTCACACTCACCAGTGAAAGACAGAGAAAAAGAGAGGAAGTGAGGAAGCAAGCTGCCCGTTCCGGGACTCAAACTACGGTCGGCCATTGTGGGAGTCCAGGGCTTTAACTACCACACCACCTGCTGGTCCCACAAGATCCAAGTCCTTCGGGCAAGGGAGAGGAGAGTGGCAACCAGGAAAGGTAGCAGTTCTCCTTATGGTCCGGTTCCCTTCCTGGGCTTCACTCAGCCAGCCGCTGTCTGGAAAGCCAGAGTGAATTTCAGAAGTAGGCCTAGGTTCCAGGGGGCGTGCAGCTCTGAGTAGTCTCATCGTCTGATGGAGTCTCACCGTCCTCCCAGGACAAGGGGTCCTCCTTTGTCTGGCCTGTGCTCACTGTGCCTGTCACCTGTCCGTTAACCACTGAGCTGTCGGAGAAGTAAGGACACACGTTTGCATAGAAAACCAGAAGACGTCATGACTCAGACAGCCCAGTAGGTACCCAGCTTGAAACATGGTACAGAGAAAGCGAGGTCCTTCCGTGGTGTCAGGCACCCACTGGGGGTCTCGGATGCATGTCCCACAGGAGGGGCTGCTGTACCCCCAAAGCCTACAGCCCTGGTCTGTTTTTTTTTTTTTTTTTAAGAGGTTTTTGCTATAGGGCACACGTGCTTGCCAGACAGACACAGAGAGACAGAGAGTGAGAAATCCCCCCCCCCCTTTTTTTTTTATAGGAGAGGATTTTTTTTCAGAGTGTGTGTGCTCATTGGAGAGACAGACAGTGAGAGGGGAAAGTTCACCCCACACCCAGGGGTGAGTAGCCATGCCACCATTCAGTCCCCTCCATTCTCCTCCTGGGGTTTTGGGTACACACTCATACGTGCACAGAGTGATTTGAATCATGGTCAGCCATGTGGGAGTTCAGCAACATAACTGCTATGCCATTTGCTGGTCCCGAAAGTGTTACTTTTTAGTAAAAAAAAAAATAAAAAAATTTAAAAAAATCCAAATGGGTGAAATTAAACCTATTTTACTTTTTTAAAGAATTAATTAATTTATTATTATTATTATTTTACTTCACCAGTGAGAGAAAGAGAGAGGGAAAGTGAAAAAGCAAGCTGCCAGATTCGAGTCTTGAACCACCACAGATGGCCATGTGAGAGTCCAGCATCTTAACCACCACCCCACCTGCTGGCCCCGAAATTAAACCTACTTTAATACTTAGATGGGCCGATTTGTAACTACTGTGAAAATATTAATCATAACCAATGTCTATATTTGAGATTTCCAAACAGCAGGAAGTGAGCTGCATTGTACGTGCAGGGAATGATCACTTAACGAGTACAGAATCTATTCTATTATTTTTAAAGAGTGTAAACCACCTTATCAGTAGGGCGTACCATCCTTCACATCACAAATGTCACATTGGACCAAGACGGCTCAACATTGCTGTTTCCAAACTTCATTTTTAGGTCAATCGCAGTAAATACTCGAGCATCATTTGAAGGTACGGAATACCGCACATCTTAAAATAGTGCAGGGCGGATCGCAGAACCAGGGGAGTTGACGTGCAGTGTTTATTTTCGAAAGAAGTCTGGGCATTTGGGGCCCACATCAGCATAATAAGGGTTTGTAGGGGAGGAGGAGAACGTTAATGTACTTGTTGAGGATTAATGACCTGGGAGAGCATTTGTGGTGGGGAATGCATTATGGGTCATACTATAAACACAGTAATTAAAAAGTTGCACACTAAACTCTTCGCAGAACGGCAGTGGTGGTCCCCACTCCTCTGACAGCTGGCGTTCGAGTCCTGTGTTACTGGTCCTAGGCTCTTAATGCTCTCCAGAGTGGAAAGAAGAATGGTAACCATAAAGATTTCTTTTGTTTTGTTTTTGGAGAAATTTTTGCTATAGGGCGCAGGCCCTTGCCAGACAGACAGAGAGAGACAGAGAGACAGAAAGCGAGAAATCACCCCCCAGGGGAGATGGCCATGCCACAATCCCTTCTCCTCCATTCTCCTCTCAGGATCTTGGGCACGCACGTACACGCGCCTGGTGTGAGTTTTAAGCCACCGGGTCCGGGACGCGAACCACGGTTGACTATGTGGGAATCTAGCGACATAGCCATTACGCTAACTGCTGGTTCCCTCTTGTCAATGTACATTTTTAAAGTAAAAAGTTGATCATGACTGGGCCAGCAGGGGGCATGGTGGGTAAGAAGCCTGGATCTCACATGGCTGGTGAGCAGTTCAAGTCCTGGACTGGGTGGGTTGAAAAACATGCCAAGCACATGATTGTGTGTCCAAAATCCCGAGAGAATGGAAGAGAAGGGATTGCAGCATGCCCTTTATCCGAGGGGATGAGTTCTCAGTTTTGTCTGTTTGTCTCTCTAGAGTTTGTGCCCTATAGGAAAAACTTAAAAAGGGGCCAGCAGGTGGTATAATGGTTAAGACACTGGACTCTCACTGTGGCCAACCATGGTTTGAATCCCAGACCTGGTGGCTTGAAATTCACACTGGGTGCATGTGCGTGTGTGCCTCAGACCCCAAGAGGAGGATGGAGAAAAACGGATTGTGGTGTGGCCATCCCCCTTAGAGAGTGATTTCTCACTTTCCCTCCCTCTGTCTCTCTCTTTCTCTGTCTCTCTCCCTGGCAAGAACATGAACCCTTTGGCACCCCCCCATTTTTTTTTTTGAGAGGTTTTTGCTATAGGGCACATGCTCTCACCACAAAGACAGAGAGAGACAGAGAGACAGCGAGAAATCACCCCCCGGGAGGATGGTCATACTTTAATCCCTTCTCCTCCATTCTCCTCTCAGGATCTTGGGCATGAACGCACACGTGCCTGGCATGAGTTTAAGTCACCGGGTCTGGGACTCAAACCGTGGTTGACTACATGGGAGTTCTGTGACATAGCCATTACACCAACTGCTGGACACCCTTTTTATTTATATTTTTTCGTGATAGTAAATCAACTTGGTGTCTACAATAATGGGCAAAGGTAATCTATGTTTAAAAGTTACGTTTAGAAAGCATGAAGGGGACTTTAGCAGTGCTGGTCATGTTCTGGTTTTTGATCTGTTTAATTTCGGAATAATTCATTGAGTGTCACTTGTGGCTTGCATGCTTTTCTATGTCAATGAAAAGTTTTTGTTTTTAAAATCAATTTGCCATCTGGTTTCTCCAGTATAGAAAATGTTTTTCCGGGGGGACCAGCAGTTAGTGTAATGTCTGTTGCTGGACTCCCATATGGTTGTCCCTGGTTTGAGTCCCAGACCCGGTGGCTTAAACTTACAACGGGCGTGTGTATGTGTGTGCCCAAGATCCCGAGAGGAGAATGGAGGAGAAGGGATTGCGGCGTGGCCATCCCCCCTGGGGGGTGATTTCTTGCTTTCTGTCTCTCTGTCTCTCTCTGTCTTTGTGGTGAGTGCATGCGCCCTATAGCAAAAACCTCTCAAAAAAAAAATAATGTTTTTCTGGGTCAAGCTTTTGGAGTGTGTACAGGATATTAGTTTCAATGTCACAGTGAAGAGCCAGGTGTGTGGCTTCATATCGAGGAAGAGTGAGATGCGGAAGCATCGCACAATGCAGCTGCCATTGCCTGGACTCCTGAACAAGGCCTGGAGGGCCAGCCCTGAGCAGGGACCTGAGCTTCTACCACATCAATCCCAGGGCCCCAGGCTGATCCGCAGCAGCTCTGTGCCTGCCTACAGTGACAGGGGGACTTCATCTTGCCTGTGACCATGAATAATTCATAAACGTGGTTATCTGGGAACTTGTGGTAATCATTAGCATTTTAATGGGAAAACAAAGGAACCTACCACAGCCCTGATCCTAAGTCTCTGTTCTGTCTCTACCTTTTGTCTCCCCACAGCTAGCCACCACGGTCTTCCCGGAGCACCTGGGAGCTGCCCACGCCCTGCTCATGCGCTGACCTTCGCTATGGGCAGACGGTACCCGGAGACCCACTGTCACCCAGGCAGCTCCTGTACGTACGGGGTTGAGCTTGCTGTGATATTCACTGTAGCAGATCTCGGGGTGCTGGACGAGTCTTCACTTAGCAGGTTTAAGTGGACTGTTTAGAAATGCAGGAGAGTGGATCGCTCTAGGGTACGTTTTTAATATCGAATGGTGAGACACGTTATTTAAGTGAGGCTGTTTCTAATCACGTGGCCCCTGTTACACCAGGCATGGGTGTCTGCCGTGCCTTTTTGTTTCAGTGTATCCATTCATGTACATGCTTTTTATTTAGGTCTTCCTTTTCACCACAATAGATAACATTTAAAAAAATCATAATGCCCTAAGTCAAAAACATTTCCCAGTGATTATTTTAATTCCGTGAAATAAAATAAATTCATGGACCCACAAGAGAGGCCCTCTGGACATGCAGTGTGTTTTGGGGTAAGACCCTGGCTCCTATTTCTTTTCTTCTTTTTTTTTGATTTTAGGAATTATTTTATTAAACTTTATTTATTTATTCATTTATTCATTTTTCATTGGAACAGAGAGGAACAGAGAGAGAGAGAGAGAGAGAGAGAGAAAAAGTGAAAAAGCAAGCCGCCAAGACCGGGACTCAAACCACAGTCACCCATGTGAGAGTCCAGTGCCCTTAACCACCACATCACCCGCTGGCTCCTTTCATTTTTTTGGTTTTTTTTGAGAGATATTTTTGCTGTAGGGTGTATGCATTCACTGGAGAGACACAGAAAGACAGAGACAGAAAGCGAGAAGTCACCCTCCAGCGGGGATGGCCACACCACAATCCCTTCTCCTCCATTCTCCTCTCCAGATTTTGGGCATGCACACACATGCACGTGGCGTGAGTTTTAAGCCACCGGGTCCAGGACTCGAACCACGTCGACTACGTGGGAATCCAGTGACATGACCGTTATGCCATCTGCTAGTTCCTCTTTTCTTTCTTTCTTCTTTTTTTTAGTTTAGCTTTGTTTATTTTTGCCATAGGGTGCATGTGCTTGCTGGAGAGAGACAGAGAGAGCAGAAGTGACAGATCACCCCTTGGGGATGGCAGTGCCACAGTTCCTTTGCCTCCATTTTCCTCTCAGGATTTTGGGCGCCCAGGCACAGGTACTCAGTGTGCATCTCAAGTTACCAGGTCCAGGACTTGAATTGCTGTCGACCCTGTGGGAGTCCAGCCCTAACCACTACGCTACCTGAGGGGCCTTTCCAATTTCTTAACAGTCTCCAGAGGAGGAAACTCCATTCCCTCAGAGATGCCTTTCAGTGTCTCACAACACTGAAAGGATTTTTTTTTTTTTTTTAATGTGTATTTTGCCATTTAAGTCTTTTTACAATTTTTAAAAAAATTTTTTTATTATTTTAATTATTTTTTAAATTTGCCAGGAAGCACATCATGTGCTCACCAGGAAGAGACACAGAGAAAGAAAGAAAGAGAGAGAGTGAGTGTGAGAAAGCAAGTTGCCTGGTCTGGGACTCGAACCATGATCGGCCATGTGGGAGTCCAGCACCGTAACCACCACGCCACCTGCTGGCCCAACGCTTAAGTGTTTCCAGCAGTCTTTTGGGAACTGCTACCATTGCAAGCTTTTCTTCTTTGTCTTTACCCCTGCTTATCTTAGAAGGAGAATGATCACTACCCGTTTAAGGGACGTCTGTGTTTGTATACATCGTGTGTGTGTCAGAGTGCCTTTGCCCCTGTAGTCTTTCATTCTTGGGTCAACTAGGCAGATATTCATTTGACTTTGTGGCTTCCCTTTCAACCCTTGGAATGTTGCATTCAAATCAGGTGTGTGCTTGGATAAGTCCCCCAGTGCTTCTGCTCCTGCGTCTTTTCTGTAGTTACGTTTATTCGTCTTTGCTTTGAAGTCCCCTTGCCCTGCACAGTTCAGTTCTTTTCTTCATGGAGAAGTTAGAGCCAGTCCCGACTTCTCTTCCAAATAGCTGCCTGCAAAGTGAACCCGAGAGCGGAAGGCAGGGCGTATTAATAGCAGTGGGAAGGCCTTGCTCCAGCGGAGGAGCGATTCGGACCAACCGCGAGCATTAGAGCTGGCCGAGTCCGGGGAACAGCCTTTCCACCAGTACTTAAGATTTACTGATTTACTCTAAAATCGGCAATTTTCTCGGTGAACGTTGTCGGCATGTTTATGCCTGCATCCTGTAGAATAAAGTTCAGCAAACTATGGCGGATAGAATGAATCTGCTCCATGCCCACTCTTTTTTTTTTTTTTTTTTTTTTAGGAGCCGAGGATGTTTTTTATGCATTTATGTGGTTACATTGAAAATGACCATAAAAGCAAATACGCAATCTTGATTTTGTTTCTTCTTTGTTTTTTTTAGAGGTTTTTGCTATAGGGTGCACGCGCTCGCCAGACAGACAGAGACACAGAGACAGAAAGTGAGAAATCACCCCCCGGGGGGATGGCCAGGCCGCAACCCCTTCTCTTCCATTCTCCTCTCGGGATCTTGGGCACACACGCACACACACGCGCCCAGTGTGAGTTTTAAGTCACCGGGTCCGGGACTCGAACCGTGGTCGACTACATGGAAGTCCAGCGACATAGCAATTACGCTAACTGCTGGTCCCTAGAGCTCATTTTCCTATGTCTAGTAAATGAGGTTATATCAGTAACAGCAGGAGGTAAAGTTTACTTCTATATATTTACCTACTTCTTTGAAGAGAACTTAAATTTCAACAGCCGAAATTGAAATCCCTTCTTTGTAACTTTGATTTGGTTTTGATTTTCTTTTTCAACTTCCTCTGTTATCTGCTTCTGAGGTGGAGAGCTGAAATTTTATTTTGTTGTCTTAAAAAAGTCTCCTCCTCATTTGGGTGCCCTGGAACTTTCCCTTCAGTAATAAGTAGGGCAGAACAAAGAAGACCTTTGACGAGTTTTCTGCAGTAGGAATTGGACACCCTGTAAAGAAGCCTGCTTGGCGTCTGTTTTCGTTAGAGTGAGACCCTGGAAAACATGGCAGAATGGTCCTTGTGGGGAACTACCTACCTGTGACTTCTGCCTTTTGCAGGCTAGCTTGCTCTGTTTCTTTTTTAAGTTTTGCCATAGTGTGTGTGCACTTGGCAGAGAGGGACACAGAGAAAGGCAGTGAGAAGTCACTTCCGGGGAGGATGGCCATGCCATAATCCCTTCTCCACGCTCTTGGGATTTGGGGCACGCATGCTCCCATACCTGGCAGATCTGGGTTTGGGACTCAAACCATGGTTGGCCAGTGGGAGTCTAGTGCCTTAACCCCTATGCCACCTACTGCCTCATGCTCACTTTCTTTGCTGAGGGAATTACAGAGTGAGGGGAGTACCTGCAGACCTGCCCAGAGTCGATGGATGACAACCGTAGGGGTGCTGATGCAGCCTTTTCTCTGTGCCCCATGTGAAGAGGATTTGGATGACAGGGATTGATTAAAAAGTATTCTTTTCACAAAAGAGAGCAGGCTTTGACTCGGAAAGAGATGGAAAGAATTTGTCTTCCTTAGGGACGTTGACTATAGTAACTCTGGCTGAAGGAAGGCCAGGGAGGGGATACCTCAGCAGACTTTGGGAGCATGAGAACCACCCTTTGCTTGTTTTCTCCAAAGGGAGAGGGGAGGAGGGTGCGCCTTCACCTTCATGTGGCAATCTGGACCTGTGGCAAATAGACTTATTTTCCCAGGGTTCCTGGACACTTGCTTGTTTCTGCAAACCTGAGATTAGTATCGAGGAAACGAACTCTGATAACCTTAAAGGAGGCCACAAAACCCTTGGAAAATGAAACCGCTAGACTCCTGCAAGGACTGACTTGGCATATCTCAGTATCATAAGTTAGGTCAGTTTTTTGTTAGCCTTTGGAACTTCTAGAACTTTCTGTTAGAAACACACATAGAGCAAGAAATGGAAACCAGTAAACATAACGTACTGACTATGATATAGAAAATGCTTGTTAAAGGAAGATCTGCATTTCATAGTCTCAATGTGATTGAAAATACGTAGATCCATGCGATTCCTTTTGTCTTTTCTTCTGGATTCTTCCTTAGATGAGTCTAATTATGGGAAAAGTTAATCTCCCTCTCCTAGGATGTAAGGGAATTCTCCAGAGAGCTTAAGCTACGTGTTGCGTATTTGGAAGTTGAAACCAGTAAATCCAGTCTGTCTTGGCTAACTCTAGAAATCATACCCATCTGACCATGCTCTCCTGTGACTGGGCCTTGGCTAGGGGTCAAGAGGATTTCCTGTTGTTTTTGAGGAGATACAAGGTTTTCGTTTTCAAGTTCGCCATTCCTCACACTTGGGCTGCAGTTCAACAGTAAATTTAAGCAGTTCAGCAGAATCTCATTGAAAGAGACTTTCCTTTTTTCTTTCTTTCTCCTTTTTTAAATTTTCTTAATGCCAGAAGGGTGGTCATGACCAGTTCATAGATTCGTACAACCCCACTTTATTAGCGATGCTGTGTTGGCTTGTATGGAGGAGTAGGAAGAGTTACATGGTGATCACCCTCAACATGTTTATGTTTTTATCCGTACATATGACCAAAGGTGGCAACTCTCATTTATAATCAAACACGTGGTGTAGCAGTTTGGAGGAGAGGAAGACCAGTAAAGATAGAATCAATGAAGGGCAAGGAAATCTCCCTCCAACAGGACATGGTGGTCTGAGCATGGGTGTGATTCAAATCACGTAGGGCCAGAGCAGATATGGGGTCATGGGAGAGATCTGAAGTGCACGTGAAAGGGGATATCATGGAGGAATCTGATGAATGGGGTCAAATGAGAAAGGCCCAAGAGAGTACCTACCTGGTAGAACAGAGTGGGTTATTTGATCGTGTTATTTTTAGGATTTTGTTCGTTTGTTTTGAGAATTATTACTTTTATTTATTACTATTATTATTATTTAAGATTTGTGGGGACGAGCAGGTGGCATGGCGGTTAAGATACTAGACACTTCCACATGGCTGAGCATGATTCAAGTCCCAGACCTGGTGGCTTGCTTCTCACTTTCCCTCTCTCTCTATTTCTCTATCTCTA